AACTTCCTAACTATCCCTTCCCCCTGGTAATCTTATTTTCTAAGTCTGTGAGTCTCTTTCTGTTTTGTAAGTAAGTTCATTTGTATCTTTTTTTTTTTTTTTAAGATTCCACAATAAGGGATATCATATGATATTTCTCCTTCTCTGTCTGACCTACTTCACTCAATATGACTGGATGTATCTGAGTTTTGAATGTACCATTTTGACATCAATTATCTGGCACCAACCGGGTTCCTGTAGTTCTTGAAGTTAGCATAGACCCCATTGATTAAATGCAAATTCTTCCTGAAGACTGCTCCCACTTGAGACACCAGCAGCAAACTCTCAAAGCCCACCTGCACTTCTGACTGAAAAGCACTCAGTCATGTCCAACTTTTTGTGACCCCATGGACTGTATAGCCCATGGAATTCTCCAGGCCAGGATACTGGAGTGGTTAGCCATTCCCTTCTGCAGGGATCTTCCCAACCCAGGGCTCGAACCCAGGTGTCCCTCATTGAAGGTGGATTCTTTACCAGCTGAGCCACCAGGGGACACTTCTGACTGGCTATAAATTCTGGAGTCCCATGACCCCTTTAGGCTCCTTCTTAGGTTCAGTAATTTGCTAAAGGACTGAAAAAGACTCACTAAAAGATCTACGCTTACGGTTATAGTTCTACTGTAAAGGCTACCACTGAAGAACAGTCAAGTGGAACAGATGCTCAGGATAAGGTCTGGGAAGTCGAGGGGAAACAGAACTGTTTTGCCTTCTTTTAGCGGAGTCCAGGTGAATAATCATCCAGGCACATCAGTGTGTTCAACTAGGAAACATTTCTGCATCTTCGTGTCCAGATGTTTTACTGGTGTTTTGTTGTGTAGCTATGATTGATTAATTCATTAGTCAGATGTTCAATCTCTGACCTCCCTGATCCCTCCACCATTCTCTTCCTGGAGATACAACTGGCTCAAAGTTCCAAATCCTCTAATCACTAGTGGTTAGTCTTTCTGGTGACCAGCCCCTACTCTGAGCTATCTAAGGACCCACCAAGAATCACTTCTTTAGCTTAACAAAGACACTCCTGTCACTTAGGAAATTCCAAGGGTTTATGAGGCTTTGTGCCAGGAACCTGGGATAAAGAACAGATATATTCTTCATTATACCGTGAAAGTTGACCAGTTAAACTCAGTAGAATGCTTCTAGAAATGCAAAACAAATAACAGAACTTAGTGTTGTACCAACAGAAAGACCATGCCCACAGGTCCACCTTGTATTTCTTACAACACATATATACAGTTTGAGAAGCAATACTTTAAAAGGGCATTCCTAGATTTTGTCCCCCTTTATAATGGGGGAAAGAAATGAATTACCCTGAGAAAGCTGAATCTGTTTGTCCTTCTTTAGGATGAGGAAGAATAGCCTCACCAAATCTCTGTCTCTTGGGTACCTGCCAGCCCACTCTTCTAATCAGGTACATCTTCAGCCTCCTTTGTCTTGATAGAGATTTGATATGGTTGTCCACTCCTGTCCTCCTCTGAGCATCACAGACTTGTAGAGACACAAACTTGTGGTCCCTTAAGAACCATACAAATCATTTGTTATTTCTGATTCCAGAAACGCTCATACTTTCTTCTAAATGATATACTGTGAGAGTGCTCAGTCCTCAGTCGTGTCCAATTCTGTGACCCCCATGGACTGTACCTGCCAGGCTCCTCCGTCCATGGGGTCCTCCAGGCAAGAATACTGGAGTCGGTTGTCACTTCCTCCTCCAGGAGATCTTCCTGACCCAGGGATCCAACCTGCAAAGGATATATTACAGAATGCTTAATCTAGAAAATTATAACAGAAGTTAAGAGCTTGATCTTTGGAAGCACACAGACCCATCTTCAAACCATAGTCCCACTACCTATTGTCTGTGGGACCAGGAATATTCAAATGATAATAAAGTAGAAAAAATACTATTTATAAAGTGACCAACTCAATATAATGCCATTTACTTTTTCTTATGTAGGTGTACCTCAGAGGTGTTGCAGGTCTGGTTCTGGACCACTTCAATAAAGCAAGTATCAGAAAACAAGTCACCAATTTTTTGGTATCTCAGTACATGTAACAGTTACATTTACATAAGGCAATGGCACCCCACTCCAGTACTCTTGCCTGGAGAATCCCATGGATGGAGGAGCCTGGTAGGCTGCAGTCCATAGGGTCGCGAAGAGTCGGACACGACTGAGCGACTTCACTTCCACTTTTCACTTACATGCATTGGAGAAGGAAATGGCAACCCACTCCAGTGTTCTTGCCTGGAGAATCCCAGGGATGGGGGAGCCTGGTGGGCTGCCATCTATGGGGTCGCACAGAGTCGGACACGACTGAAGCGACTTAGCAGCAGCAGCAGCAGTATAGTCTATTAAGTATGAAATAATGTATCTAAAAGTGTGCATAACTGAAATAAAAAATTTGTTGTTTAGTTGCTCAGTCGTGGCTGACTCTTTACGACCCCATGGACTGCAGGACCACAGGTTTCCCTGTCCTTCATCATCTCCCAGAGCTTGTTTAAACTTATGTCCATTGAGTTGATGATTCCATCCAACCATCTCATCCTTTGTTGTTCCCTTCACCTCCTGCCTTCTATATTTCCCAGCATAAGGGTCTTTTCCAGTGAGTTGGCTCTTCACATCAGGTGGCCAAAATATTGGAGTTTCAGCATCAGTCCTTTCAAAGAATATTCAAGAGTTGATTTCCTTGAGGATTGACTGGTTTGATCTCCTTGCTGTCCAAGGGACTCTCAAGAGTCTTCTCCAACACCACAGTTCAAAAACATTGATTCTTCAGTGCTCAACTTTCTTTATGGTCCATCTCTCACAACTCTACATGACTACTGGAAAAACCATAGCTTTGACTATATGGATCTTTGTTGGCAAAGTAATGCTTTTTAATATGCTGTCTAGGTTTGTCATAGCTTTTCTTCCAAGGAGCAAGTGTCTTTTTAATTTCATGGCTGCAGTCACCATCTGCAGTGATTTTGAATTTCAGGAAAATAAAGTCTGTCACTGTTTCCATTGTTTCCCCATCTATTTGCCATGAAGTGATGGGACCAGATGCCATTATCTTTGTTTTTTGAATGTTGAGTTTTAAGCCAACTTTTTCACTCTCCTCTTTCACCTTCATCAAGAGACTCTTTAGTTCCTCTTGGCTTTCTGCCATAGGGTGGTGTCATTTGCATGTCTGAGGTTATCGATATTTCTCCTGGCAATCTTTTTTTAAATTAATTTATTTTTTATTGAAGGATAATTGCTTTACAGAATTCTGCTGTTTTATGTCAAACCACAACATGAATCAGCCATAGGTACACATATAGCTCCTCCCTTTTGAACCTCCCTCCCATCTCCCTCCCCATCCCACCCCTCTAGATTGATACAGAGCCCCTATCTGAGTTTCCTGAGCCATACAGCTAATTCCCGTTGGCTATCTGTTTTACACATGGTAATGTTAAGTTTCCATGCTACTCTTTCTACACATCTCACCCTCTCCTCCCCTCTCCGCATGTCCATAAGTCTATTCTCTATGTCTGTTTCTCCATTGCTGCCCCTAAATAAATTCTTCAGTACCATTTTTCTAGGTTCCATACATATGCATTAGAATATAGGATTTATCTTTCTCTTTCTTACTCACTTGACTCTGTATAATAGGTTCTAGGTTCATCTACCTCATTAGAACTGACTCAAATGCATTCCTTTTTATGGCTGAGTAATATTCCATTGTGTATATGGACCACAGCTTCTTTATCCACTCATCTGTCGATGAATATCTAGGTTGCTCCCATGTTCTAACTATTGTAAATAGTGCTGCAATGAACAATGGCATGTGTCTTTTTCAATTTTGGTTTCCTCAGGGTATATGCCTAGGAGTGGGATTGTTGGGTCAATTGGTGGCTTTATTCCTAGTTTTTTAAGGACTCTCCATACTGTCTTCCATAGTGGCTGTATCAATTTACATTCCCACCGATAGTGCAAGAGGGTTCCCTTTTCTCCACACCCTCTCCAGCATTTATTCTTTGTAGACTTTTTTTTTTTTTTGAAGGATAATTCCAATTTATTAACAAACCAGAATAAACAGCACAAAATGACTGTGAAAGACCAAGAAAGACAGACAGGGGTTCATTCAGCCCAACTCTCCTGTGCATGCTGGGATAAACCTTCCCTGTGCCTCTTGGATGGTGCCCCTTAGATGGGGAAGGCCTGTCCTGCAGGAGCAGGGTGAGCACAGTTCCTCTCTGCTTCTGCCTCCTGTGTGGGAAACTCTCTCTACTCCCCCACTCCCCAGAAAGTTCCCCTCTGCAGGACCATAAACCTGCACATCTAAGACTTGAAAACCATTTTTCCACTTTGCTACTATACTTTTTCACACTTTGGATTAATTTTTATGAATTAAATTGTGTGTTTGAAACAGCACATCTCGACACAGATTGCAAAACCAGCCTGTTAGAAACTATTGTTCTTTTCTCCACTGCCTGATAGTCTAGACCCAGGTTGATCCCCACAACATGCCAAAGAGAAACTAGTAAGACCTCATATTAGAGTTATTAAAAGCATGAACATAGTCTCATTTGATCCTCACAGCAACCCCGGGAGGTAGGCAGGTGGGCACAATGGTTCCAGGATCCAGAGAACAAAGTCATAACTGATGGAGTTGGGAACCAAATCTATGTACTCTGACCCCTGGTCCAGGGCTCCTTCCACTCCACAAGGTGAACTGGGCTCACCCTGGTGAGCAGGGCGGTTTTTCTGCTCAGGAGAGGTGAGATGTCCTTTGGGCTTGCAAACAGAGGAGATTTTAAGTACATACCTCAGCAGATAGCTCAGAGGGTAAACACACCTGAGCTCAATCTAGCATCAACATCAGAGGGATGAACAAGACAGACATAGGCATCTTTGACAAGGGTCTCTTCTTGTTTCCTGATTCTCATGTGGAACACACTGGGTGCTGTAACATGAATGTAGCGAAGTCCAGGTGGAGGGAAGGCATTCAGAGGACTTTTTCATCTATCAGTTTATTGATTCCCTCACAGATCTTCTTGAGGTTGGGCCTACAGTCTCCATCAAGGCTATAAAGGGTGGAAAGGAACTCCACATTGGCAAAGTGGTTGAAGACATGATTGATGCGTCCGTGGGTCCTGGGTGTCAGGTGTCGCTGCACCAGTTCATGCACCAGGTCCTTGCACTCGTGTAGGAGCTTGGAGAGCACGTTTCGATCGAAGGTGTATTCCACCTCATAGAAACTGACGATGGTCATGGCAGTCTGGTTCAGCTTCTTCCTAAACTTCTCCACTATAACAACTTCCTCTGGGCTGAACTGGTTGTTCCGGTAGAGGATCCCGATTTTGATTGCCACCTTGATTAAGTCTTTCATGATCTTGTGGGCTTCCTTCTTGTTATGTATGTGCTCTTTGGTGACTTTGTAGAGCTCATCGAAGATCTCGCTGCTGGTATCATCAATCAGTATGTTGGCCACAGTTTTGCTGGCTATTTTGCTCAGAATCTTCTTCTGGGCTTGAAGGGCAAGGTTCTTTGAACTAAAAACATCAGGACCTGCGGCGGTCCCGGGCTCGCCCTCGCTCTGCTCGCCGGAATCTGAATCCATGCCGCCGGCTGGCGTTCACAGCCGTCCGCCCGTCCCCGGGGCACCCGGGGCCGGCGTCCGGACTCAGGCAGCCGCGTCGCACTCCGGCCGGGCAATGCGCGGCGGCCGCGGCAGGGGGCGGCTCAGCAGAGGCCAGCGCGGCCTGTTCTCCGCTCCCCGCGCCCGCCGGCCGGTTCTTTGTAGACTTTTTGATGATGGCTGTTCTGCCTCGTGTGAAGTGATATTCATTGTGGTTTTGATTTGCATTTCTCTAATAATGAGCGATGTTGAGCATCTTTTCATGTGTTTTCTCCTGGCAGTCTTGATTCCAGCTTATGCTTCATCCAGTCTGGCATTTCACATTGATGTACTCTGCATGTAAGTTAAATAAGCAGGGTGACAATATACAGCCTTGATGTACTTCTTCCCCAATTTGGAACCAGTTTTTTGTTCCATGTTTGGTTCTAACTGTTGCTTCTTGACCTGCATGCAGGTTTCTCAGGAGGCAGGTGACATGGTCTGGTATTCCTATCTCTTTAAGAATTTTCCACAGTTTGCTGTGGTCGACAGTCAAAGGCTTTAGTATAGTCAATGAAACAGAAGTAGATGTTTTTCTGGAATTCTCTTGCTTTTTTGATGATTCAACGGATGTTGGCATTTTGATCTCTGGTTCCTCTGCCTTTTCTAAACCCAACTTGAGCATCTGGAAGTTCATGGTTCATGTACTGTTGAACCCTGGCTTGGAGAATTTTGAGCATTACTTTGCTAGTATGTGAAATGTGTGCAATTGTGAGGTAGTTTTAACTTTCTTTGGTACTGCCTTTCTTTGGGATTGGAATGAAAACTGACCTTTTCCAATCCTGTGGCAAAAAACTTTCCAAATATGCTGGCGTATTGAGTGCAGCACTTCACCAGCATCATCTTTTAGGATTTGAAATAGCTCAGCTGGAATTCCATCACTTCCACTAACTTTGTTCATTGTGATGCTTCCTAAGGCCCATTTGACTTCACATTCCAGGATGTCTGAATCTAGGTGAGTGATCACACCATTGTGGATATCTATGTCATGAAGACCTTTTTTGTACAGTTCTTCTGTATATTCTTGCCACCTCTGCTTCTGTTAGGTTCATACCATTTCTGTCCTTTATTGTACCCATCTTTGCATGAAATGTTCCCTTGGTATCTCTAATTTTCTTGAAGAGATCTCTAGTCTTTCCCATTCTGTTGTTTTCCTCTGTTTCTTTGCATTGATTGCTGAGGGAGGCTTTCTTGTATCTCCTTGCTGTTCTTTGGAACTCTGCATTCAGATGGGTGTGTCTTTCCTTTTCTCCTTTGCCTTTAGCATCTCTTCTTTTCTTAGCTATTTGTTTTGCCTCCTCAGACAACCATTTTGCCTTTTTGCATTTCTTTTCTTGGGATTGGTTTTAATCTCTATCTCCTGTACAATGTTATGAACCTCCATCCATAAATAAAAAATACTCTTGCTAAAAAATGCAAATTATCTTTTGAGGCATCAGCAAGTTTTGATCTTTTTGTTGATGGTGGGTCTTACTTTGATGTTGATGGCTGCTGACTGGTCAGGGTAGTGGTTACCGAAGGTTGTAGGTGGCTGTAGCAACTTCTTAAAATAGGACAGCAATGGAGTTTGCCGCATCAATTCACTTTCTTTTCTTTCATGATTATTTCTTTTGCGTGTATAATGCTGTTTGATAACATTTTACCTATAGTAGAACTTCTTTCAAAATTAGTCGAACCTCTCAAATTATGCTGCTGTTTATAAATTTATGTAATGTTCTAAATATTACATAAGCTTTTGCAATAGAAGCTTATGTAATATTTAGAAATCCTTTGTTGTCATTTCAAGAACATCTCCATCAAGAGTGGATTCCATCTCAAGAGCTCCCTGTTTCACTCATGCATAAGAAGCAACTCCTCATCCATTCAAGTGTTGTCATCAGATTGCAGCATTTCAGGCTCCACTTCTAACTCTCACTGTTTCTACCAGAGCTGCAGTTCCTTCCTTCAGTGAAGTCTTGAACCCCATCCATGTGGGTTGGAATCAACTTCTTGAATACTCTTGTTACTGTTGCCATTTTGACCTATTCCCATGAATCATGGGAAAAGGCAATGGCAACCCACTTCAGTACTCTTGCCTGGAAAATCCCATGGATGGAGGAGCCTGGTAGGCTGCAGTCCATGGGGCTGTGAAAGCTTGGACATGACTAAGCGACTTCACTTTCACTTTTCACTTTCATGCATTGGAGAAGGAAATGACAACCCACTCCAGTGTTCTTGCCTGGAGAATCCCAGGGATGGGGGAGTCTGGTAGGCTGCTGTCTATGGGGTCGCACAGAGTCAGACATGACTGAAGTGACTTAGCAGCAGCAGCAGCATGAATCATGAATGTTCTTGATGGCATCTAGATTGGTGAATTCTTTGTAGAAGGGTTCCCATTTACTTTGCTCAAAGATCTGCAAGAAGAATCACTGTCTATGCTGCTGTAGCCTTATAAAATATACTTCTTAAATAATGAGACTTGAAAGTTGAAATTACTCCTTGAAATATGGGCTGCAAAATGGATGTTGTGTTAGCAGGCATGAAAACAACATCCATTTCATCATACTGCTCCAGCAGAGCTCTTGTGTGACCCGGTGCATGCTCACTAAGCAGTAATATTTTGAAAGGAATCTTTTGTTCTGAGCAGTAGGTGTCAACAGTAGGCTTAAAATATTCAGTAAAGCATGTTGTAAATAGATGTGCTGTCATTCAGGCTTTATTGTTCCATTTAGAGAACACAGCAGAGCGGATATAGCATAAATCTTAAGGACCCTGGGATTTTCAGAAGGTAAATGAGATTGACTTCAAACTGAAAGTCACCAGCTGCCCTAGCCCCTAATAAGGGAGTCAGGCTGTCCTTTGAAGCTTTCAAGTCAGGCATTAACTTCTTTTTTTAAGCTACAAAAGACTTAGATGGCATCTATTCCCAATGTAAGGGTGTTTCATCTACACTGAAAAGTTGTTGTTTAGTGTGGTCACTTTAATCAGCTTATTGAGATCTTCTGGATAACTTGCTGCAGCTTCTGCATTAATACTTGCTGCTTCACCTTGCACTTTTGTTATATAACAGTTTCTTTCCTTAAACCTCGTGACCCACCTTCGACTAGCTTCAAACTTCTCTTGTGTAGCTTCCTCACCTTTCTCAGCCTTCATAGAACTGAAGAGACTTAGGGCTTTGCTTTGGATTAGCCTTGCCTTAAAGGATGTTGTGGCTGACTTGATCTTTTCTTCAGACTGATAAAGCTTCCTCCATGTCATCAATAAGGCTGTTTTGCTTTCTTATCATTTGTGTGTTCACTGGAGTAGCACTTTTAATTTCCGTCAAGAGCTTTTTTTTTTGCATTTGCAACCTGGCTAGCTGTTCAGTGCCAGAGGCCTAGCTTTCAGCCTATCCATTTTCAGCAGGCCTTCCTTGCTAAGCTTAATCATTTCTAGCTCTTGATTTAAAGTGAGAGATGTGTGGCTCTTCCTTCTCTTGAACACTTAGAGGTCACTGTAAGGTTAATAACTGGCCTAATTTCAATCTTGTTTGGTCTCGGGGCATATGGAGGCACAAGGAGACGGGGAGAGATGGGGGAACAACTGTCAGTGGAGTAGTAAGAACACACGTGTGTCCAAAGCTGTTACAATGGGGACATCAAAGATCCTGATCACAAAAACCATCACAAAAGTAACAGTAATGAAAAAGGTTTGAAATATTGCAAGAATGACCAAGATGTGACACAGAGACAGGAAGTGGGCAAATGCTGTCAGAAAAGTGGCGCTGATAAAATGGCTTATCACAGGGTGGCCACAAGTCTTCAATTTATAGCAGACACGATACTACAAAGCACAGTATAGCAAAGCACAATAAAACAAGGTGTGCCTGTATACATGTTCACATTTTGTCTACAGTTTCTCTGTTCCTATACTAGGGATGAGCAAAGTCAAAGATAAACCAGCAGGACAGTGAGGACAATCAGGAGATACGTGTAGACAAATACAGGAAAGGTCAAAGTCGGCAGCCAGGTTCTCACATGTCTGTTAGAATATCTTCAGAATCGAAACATGGTCCTCAGGGTTGAAATACAGGAGCAACCCACCTGCTTCAGGGGTCCTAATTTAGGTGTCATTACACAGAGCAGAAAGAAAGCTGTGATACTCAAAAAATAAAATGCACATAGCAAGTTTATTGAGGATGTAAGCTGTATCTTTGACTGCCTAATGATCACACTTTATGTACTTGAAAATCTGGAGTTGAAATACCCAGAGATACAGTGCACCCTGCGAAGTCAAGGTTTAACATTTCAGGCTTTCCCAGAGAGTCCTGTGGAGAATACAGAGAAAAAAATCTTTTTGTCAAGAAAATTCTACCTATAGTAGACTGTGGGACTCTCAGAAAAGCAGATTTCCCCGGATTGCTTACAAATGAGAAGACTGGAAAGTTATAGGACAGCTTGAAATGACTTTCACTGTACATTTAAAAAGGACCATTTAGTTGTGAATGAAACAAAACCATCAGCTTTGCTGTATAGTTCTATATCTGATGCATAGCTTTTAAAATTTTGTTCCTTTTCCACTGTGCAACATCTAAAGGAAAAGCACTTTGGCTATTAACTTGCCAAATTTGGGTTCATTTTAGTCTGACTGAAGGATTTTCTGCTTACAGAACATTAAAAATTGTTATGGATCTTTGGATCTCAGGTATACGGAGGTCATATTATTCCTTTTAAGCTTCAGAATGTCTTTATACTAGTGTGAATCCTTGAAGGTGCATTGATTTTCAATATTTTGTATGTGTACTCTGAGGGGGAAGCTTTGAACAAGCTCTAAATTTTGAGATCAATTACAGAATGAATGGAATATGGGGAGAGTGGACACTTTTGACTCTTGAATGCTTTATTGAGCTCATTTTCTGCTTATTTGAGTCTGAAAATGTTGATAATAAAAGAAGAATGATATACAAAAAAGAGCAACAATGAAAG